CGACAACTCTTGAATACAAGAAAAATCCCCATCTAGCGGTACTATTGAAAAATGCAGTTTGTTTTTGTGCAAAATTAGTACCCAAGAGGATTAGTTTGACTTCATTACTGAATGAAGGGTAGCCATTACCTTCTTATGCAACTAAGGATCGGCAACAGGAGAGGACTGTTTCTTCTGAATTCCTCCTCCTCCCTTTTCAGTTAGCTCTGACTGTAAAATTCAACACCCAAATGAGCTACTAATGATTTTTAAGTATAAAACCCAGAAAGCAGTACTTCAAGAAACTGGTCACTTAATACAGTAATGTCTTGGTGTGCATTAAAAGTGTTCACTTACAGTGGCATAGGCTGACACATCTAAAGTATTCTTTAAATACAAAAATATTTAAAGATTTATCTAAATCTCATATAAAGTTAGTATCAAATTTATTTCTAAACTTTAACAACATAGTGAAAGATTAGCTTGGCTAGTGGAAAACTGCAAGCACTTACGGCTATATAAAAAAAATACATAATGTAAGCCCACTGATGCAGAAAGTGAGAGGACATCGAGACACTGCTTTTTTCCAACTGGCACAAAGCCTTGTGCATTTCTTTAATGTAATAGTATATTATAAAACACTGCAGCAGCCCAGTCTTCCTAACTAGCACCACTAAAAGGTCCTTAGATATTAATGAAAAAAACAACGTTGAGATTCACAGGAATTTACTACACATTGCTACTGACTTCTAGAAAACAAACAGCAGGAACAACACCAAGATTTTACAAATCTCTCGATGCATTTAAATTTTTGAAGTGTGTACAAAGAGTGAAGAAACCAGAAAGCCATTTGAATTGCAGTAAAAAACTAGTATGGGGTAGTCCTTTGATTTGGGAGGATCAGTATATTAAATTTGCATTTCATAACATGCTCACTCTTGAAGATTTTAAAACTGCACATTTCTCTCAGAAGCAAACACTTAAGAAGTTCTTAAAAACATATGTAGAGATCTGTATTACTGAGATCAATATGTAAACAAATAGGTCTTTATTACATGTTGGGTGACACTGCAGGTGTCCCTTAATTCAAATATGCAATTGAGCCAATCCTTCCTTCCACAGTAAAAAGTACACCAAAGACTATCTGCACGCAGAATAAATTCACATCAAAACAGAAATGGGGAGTTGAAGTGGAACAAATATATGTAAAATTGCTCTTCAGAAAAACAGTCAAGATTTCCAGAATTTAAGTCTGACTAGTGTTGATCATTTTACTTCTTTACATCTTTAGTACAGAAGACTTCTTGATTTGTTAAGGATGTTATTTTGCAATATAACTGCAGTTAACAAAGGGAAACATTCAGTTGGCTGTAAACTATACTTTTCACAGTCTCACAGCTGAGTGAGGATGCTCCTGCCTACAGATGCGGATGGTCCCATATGAAGGGATTATAATACAGAATTAACTCAGTAATACATATACTGAAGACAGCAGAGAAAGGTTCAAGTACCTCATATAAGATAAAGCCAAAGGTTGCAGAGATTACCTTAAAATAGTAAGTCATACCCGACCACCAAAATTTTGAGATGAGAATATCTGCTATCATCCATCATAATTTATCAGTTGTGTACACTTTTTGCATTGTTACGTTTCTGACTTCGTCACAGCATGACTACAACACCTTGCTTCTTGCAAAAAAAATTCCTGAACTTTCTACCTTTCATCTAATACTACTTCTACTTTCTTAATAATGAAGAATTATTTGAGTAATACTGTACTTCATCTCAGAGGATGAAAAACAGCAGTTCCCACCTCCTTTTCTGTGAGGCTTTAGATGTTGGTACAAGTCTTACCACATTTGTTCTGCAGAGCTCCTTCTCTTCAGACATCAGCATTGAAACAGAAGGTACACGTTGGTTAACTCAACAGATCCAGGACTCACTTAAATACCACAAGTCCTTCTCCTTGTAGGGAGAAGATTTCAGAACACTTAATTTCTTATGTCTATGGCTATGTATGCTCTCTTGAGAGGAAACATAACAGGCAAAAATCATGCTTGCTCCAACAGGGAGAAGCACAATAAATAAGTGTTAATCCAAAATTTGCTTACTAGTTCTGGATGTCTCCCAAACATCTAGGACAGCACAGTAGGGAAAAGGGAGGTTTACAGAGCAGGAGTGTACCTTCACTATAAAATTCCTGCCAACCCTTCTGACCATGGCCACAGCCTCCCTGCATCTGTCCACTCCACTCTAACAACAATCCCATGCCTATCCTTTTTTACTTGGGAACTTGCTCTTAAAACTTTAAAAAACTCTACACCAAAATTGTTGAATATCAGAAAACAACCTTCAGGTGACAGTCACCTGCTCCCTATAAGTCAATAACGATACTCCCTACCACCTGTTAAGAAATCTGCACCTAAGGCTAAGAACAGAGCTCTGACATAATAGCCATTGGTCAGTACTGAAAATCCATGTTAATTTACACCTAAAAAATTGAACCAGGAAGCTGTGCTAAGTTTGAGGAGGAAACAGAAGTTAAATATGTTTACAAATCAGACTTATCAGCACCAGCAACTGAGCTGCTTCTCCAAGCCATTTACTCCATGCCAATTTACCACATAAAAAGATCCCTGAAAGAAAACAAACCAAAACCCAACAACTCTTAAATACGTGAGACAGATTGGACTTTAAAACACAATTTAAAAGTCTACAAAGCAGACTTGAACTCAGGCACAGTGAAAGACTCAGATCACGAGATCCTCAGAGACCTGCGCTGCCTGCAGACGCTCGGGAGAGACAACACAACCGTCCTGGCTGTGCACGCTGGGTGCCCCGCAGTGCTGTTTCAGGAGTTTGCCTGATCATCATGAATTGTTTTTAAAGTTAACATTCTGAAAGCCAGAATTCAAAAAACAAGTAAGTTTTCATGTAGCTTGGGGATTTTGAAGAGTAGTAATTTTTAAGGAATTTCTCACATCTTGTGGCTTTTATTATATAAAATAAATTCCAGCCTACCATCCATTCCTACTCTCTCTAGCCACAGAGAAGATGACAGGTGAGTGTCAGTATTTTGGTTTGGCACACAGCTAAAAATCTCCTATCAGATCTCAAAGATGCATGCAACTGGTAGTCCTAATCTCAGTCTAAAATCAGGAACTGAAAAACTGAGACAGCAATGCTGCTTCCCATTGTGTGTTTGGCAAGAAGGTCAGAAATTCTGCAAACATCCACATGGTGCTGATGGTTCCACTGCGGTGGGTAGTGAGTGTTTTTTGCTTAAAGTCAACTGGAGTATCATAGAATCACAGAATGGTTTGGGCTGGAAGGGACCTTTAAAGATCATGTAGTCCAACCTGCGTGCCATGGGCAGGGACATCTTCAACTAGATCAGGTTGCTCAGAGACCCGTCCAACCTGACCTTGAACGTTTCCAGGGATGGGGCATCTACCACCTCTTTGGACAACCTGGTCCAGGGTCTCACCACTCTCATTGTAAAAATTTTCCTCCTCATATCTAGTCTAAATCCACCATCTTTTAATTTAAAACCATTACCCCTTGTCCCATCTTAACAGGCCCTGATAAAAAGTTTGTCCCCATCTTTCCCATAAGCCCTCTTTAAGTACTGAAAGACCACAATAAGGTCTCCCTGGAGTCTTCTCTTCTCCAGGCTGAACAGCCCCAGCTCTCTCAGCCTTTCCTCATAGGAGAGGTGCTACAGCCCTCCGATCATTTTTGTGGCCTCCTCTGGCCCTGCTCCATCAGGTCCATGTCTTTCCTAAGCCAAGGGCTCCAGAGCTGGATGCAGGACTCCCGGTGGGGTCTCAACGCAGAATACAGAATCGGGACCAGCAATTGTGGGACATAAGCAAAGTCTGGGTGCAGAACTCTCTGCCTATTACAGAAATTGAAACTCTAAATGGTCTGCAGGCTTTTGGGAGATGACGATGCGTCTCCTTTGACCCTTCCACAATGGAAGTGCTAGAGTGATTTGATGTAGCCATTAAAACCAGTGCAGATAAACAAAATCTAGTGGAAGGCAGCCATTAAACATGACAACATAGAGTCCCAGATGTGAAACCAGATTTGATTTAAGGGAGAGCTATGACAAAGAACGTAAGTTCTCCTCAGCAGGAGTTCCAATAGTCTCTCATATTGTTAGATTCTGATAATCTAGAGGCTTTCACGACTTGACAATGCTCAAGATGTAACACTTAAATAGAGAAACACTGTAAAATTCCTGATAAGAACAAGTCAGTAAATCAGAGCAGCAAGTCAGTAAATCAGAGCAGCAGAAGCTGACTATTGATGATGACAGATTTACAAGGAGGAAAACACAAATTTTCAATAGAGGAAAAAGAAAGGGATCAGTTACAGCATTACAGCAATAAATTCTTTATCTTCTGCATGCTTGAGCCATCCTACAAGACTGTGAAAGAGCTTGATTAAAGCTGCAAACTTAGCCAGTTCACAAGCGAGTACACTTCAGATTATTTTTTGAGTGACAGCTTAATTTTCATCAAACGAAGAAAGAGTCAGATTCTGAGACAGAACATCTACATTCACCATGTAACCAGAGGTACACAGATGTTTCTTGGCTTCTAATATAAAAATACTTTGGAAGGTAACACTAAAAGGAAGGAACCAGAAAAAAAAACGTCCTCTAATGACTGCAGTAAGATATTCTCTTCCCACAACTCTGATCATAAAGCTAGAAGCCTCAACTTTGAGCTTTCTTGTTTTGTGAGGACGTAACTTCTCCTTGCTTACAATATGAGAGGAAACCAAGGAACTACATTTTCAATGCTCTTGAATAAGAATTTATATCTATGTAAATAAAACTTCAGCTATTCTGTCCAAATGATGAGACTAGGAATATGAACTCCTTCAGGAAAACTAAGAATTCTGAACAATTTTTATCATGGCTTCTCTTAACATTTTACTTGGCCTAAGCATCTCAGAGAAATTTTTACATTTCAAGAATTATAAGAATCACTTTATACAGAATTACCACTTACCCACAATAACAAATCCATCTGCTTCTCTCTCTGGCACTGCAACCTTCTTTGAATCTTGACTTTTTCGGAAGAAGCTGAACATAGCCTCTATTTTTTTTTCTTCTAAGTCGCTATCTAAAATGAAAACAAAACATGTTTAATAAATAGAAGATAAGAGAATTTCCCATAACACCAGGCCAAAGGCCACACACATGATACCAGATTTGAAATATCAGGCATTTATATGTCAGACAGATTACCTTGCTGATGTAGCAATTTACTTCAATAAGCAAAAAGAGAGTGAAATATAAAAGACTTTTCTATAAAATTATGAATGGAGTAGAACCATTAAAAAAAACCCACTTCAACCTTTCTAAAGGAAAGTGAAAGAAGAAAACTCTCTTTAGCATTTATACAGCACATTTCCATATTTTTCTACTACTTTTAATTGTTGTTACACAAACTTTCTCATCAGAGTTCATTCTCAAGCATCTGAACTTTGAAGCCCAAAACATGATCCTATAGAAAATGCAGCTTTATAATACAGGAATACTTCAATGAAGCAAACTGCACTAGAGATATCCAGCCTTAAGTGTCTGTTCATCACTTACAAAGACAACCCACCCACCTCTACAATAGTAGCATAGCAGCTATTTTCATTTTTCCAGTTTGCAGTCTTAGAGATAGCTTAAAACTTATGTGTATTTGATTAACAGTTACCACTGATTCCTGTAAAAGAAACTGCAACAAAATCGTAGGTTGCATATTTTTCGTAACAATAATGCATTAAAAGAATCTTTCCAAAGCAGCTAAGAACTCAGAGTTCACAACAGCTAGAACAAACCAAGGAAAACAGTGGGATAAAAACATTAACTGCAAAAGATTATGTTCACTATCTGTTCTCTCTCAAGACTGGAAGATTACATAGAGGCAATTCTGAACAGCTTAAAATTATTTAAATTTAAAGGACAAATTTCTATTAAGAATCCCATGAGCATTAGCCAAAAGATAGGCAGTTGGGCCAGCTTTTACAAAATTCAGTCCTATGAACCACTCCATAAACATGGATATATCATGAAACCTTCTTTTAAGCAAATTCTCTAATTACTCTGAATTTTAAGATGCAAACTTAAGGAAGTTTCTCTTCTTCTGAGAAAAGTTATAAGCAAAGCTTTATGAGGAAGTGTTACTCTTGTGAAGAGCAACCAACAGAACTATACAAAGCAGGTATTCACAGGTTCAGCTTATTGAGAGGACCACCAGTGTACCACCACCCACTTTCTATTTTCTACCTATCTGGCACCACTGAAGGCAGCAATGGAGAGTCTGCCCAGCCTCCTCCCACAGTGTAGCTCCGTCCACAGTGCCAGGACAGTGAGAACAGGGGAGAGGCACCGCAGCAGCCATCACCCCTGGAAGGTGCGCTCACCTCCGACCCCAAGGGCCAAACTCAGATAACTGGACAACGCCAACCCAGAGCAGCCTGTGATCTGCTGAGACACTCTGTGTGCCACACGCAGAGGGGAAGGTGTAAACAAAGGTACGCGATGCTCTTCTCTACTAAAACTCTCCTTGCCCTCTACACTACCCTAGTGAGGCCCCATCTGGAGTACTGTGTCCAGTTCTGGGGTCCCTACTTCAAGAAAGATGAAGAGCTACTGGAGAGAGTCCAGCGGAGGGCTACAAGGATGATGAGGGGACTGGAACATTTCTCCTATGAAGAGAGGCTGAGGGAGCTGGGCTTGTTCAGCCTGAAGAAGAGAAGGCTGCGAGGGGACCTAATAAATGCTTACAAATATCTCAAGGGTGGATGTCAGGAGGATGGGGCCAAGCTATTTTCAGTGGTGCCCAGTGACAGGACAAGGGGCAATGGGCACAAACTGGAGCACAGGAAGTTCCGTCTGAACATGAGGAAGAACTTCTTCCCTCTGAGGGTGACGGAGCACTGGAGCAGACTGCCCAGGGAGGTTGTGGAGTCTCCTTCTCTGGAGATATTCAAGACCTGTCTGGATGAGGTCCTATGCAGCCTGCTGTAGGTGACCCTGCTTCAGCAGGGGGGTTGGACTAGATGACCCACAGAGGTCCCTTCCAACCCCGAATATTCTGTGATTCTGTGAAAACACCCATATAAAATTCGGAAAAGTGGGATAATGTAATTTCAAATTTGAAGCAGAGTTTGAGGAGCAGAATCCTGATTTACACTGCAGACACCAACACTGAAAGGAGAAGGGACTGACAAACCGATAGCAATGTCTAATACGCATCTCTAACAGAGAAAAGGAGTCCAATCTAAAGAAAAGAGGTGTACCGTGTCAAGTTTCGATAACATTATTTCACACTAAATTTAACAAAGAAGAGCCTTTAGCAGGTGGGGATGAGAGAAGAGTGCTACCATGTAGTGTTTGGGTTTAAAAAAAGTAAAAGAAAGATAAAAATCCTGGATTCATTATTTGCCGGAATTCCTCACTTCCCACCGAAATGTTCATGGCACCATAAGCGTGGTGCCCGAGCCAGTGACCTGTAACAATTAACCACACAATCAACACTGACTATTCACCAGACACAAACTGCCTCACACTCTGCCGTTACAAGCAATAGCAAACATTTCCATACTCCAGATCACAGAAAGTCCTGTACGAAGTGTAAGCACTGGCTTTCAGGAACAGTGTATAAACAGAACATGGCAAAAGCAGCGACGATTCAAACTGGGGCCTGACACCTGAGACTTAAAAAACTGAATACCCCGCGGGCTGGCCAGCTACTGCTTGCTTATGCTGACACAGTGCAATTTCTAGCAACCAACTAAACTACATGCATGTACACAAGAACAGAACAAACCATCCAGTCCTAGGTATGCAGTAATTCACTTATCTGCACTTTATTCCTTTTTGCTTGTTTTCCTACCTTACCACGTGAAATACTGATATTTCCAGTTCCGTGGAGATTACACAGTAGAAACTCCTAATTACCTCATTTATTCGTTACCTTCCCCCACGCCCAGGCTCAACACATGGCGCCAGCAGCATATTCCTTTTTCAGCCCTTGGGGAATAAGTCTTCTCCTGCTACCAATTAGGGTTGTCAGTCCCATAGCTCAAGTGGTAAAAACCTGTGCTGTAATGCTCAAGAGTCAGGTTTCTGCTCTGATGATGTATGAAGGAGAGGCAGTTGTGGAACAGTTTAAAATGCAATGTTACCTTCATCCTAAGTGTGCAACAACAAGAAGCAAAATCAACTTGATGTGTAAAATCTAACAGATTGCTTCGGTAAAGGCTCAGATTCTGGTCAGACACTTCAGGTGCCAGAGCTGCAGTTGCTCCAATCACATTTTTTTCTCTTTGAGATCTGTGTTATTGTACAGTTTTCAGCTCTATCACATAGTGTTCCCCTTCCCTTCTTTCTTGCACAAAGAAAAGCATCTTAATCAGTATATATGTGGCACAAAGGAGTTGTACAGGAAACCATGCATTTGTCGTCTTTTAAATCCTGCATGTTAAACATACCGAAAATTCACTGCTTAAAGGACAACAGACATTTCAGTTCATAGTAAATTAACAATCAGTACAATTTGATCTAGATGATTAATGTTACGAGCACTTTCACATACTAGGTTTTTTCCTGTTGTTGACTGAAGGCAGCCTGAGTATCCCAATTTTTCATAAAACTCGCAAAATTCATCTTATCTACATACATGAGGGTTGATCTTTACTTTGTAGTTTTCAGTTTCAGAAGTAGGTTTAACTGAATTCCACTGCCAGCAGTATTTCTCAAACAGAAAACAAAACCAAAACCCCCCATACATCCCTTTGCTTGAAGTAGAAAAACAAACAAAGGTAACAAAAGTAACCCTTAAGCTCGGGCCTCGAGTTCTTACGCTGTTAAAACCACTGGTCCAGCAGTAGAAAAATAGCATACATTGTGTTTTGTGATTGTGGATGTTGGGGAGGTGGTAAGGAATTCACATATTAAAAAGACTAATGTGCTTAGTGAGGCTTTTTCCTTCTTTGGGTGTTCACCGCATAGAAACAAAACCTGTGCTTGTAGATCTCAGGTCTATGTAACTGATGTGGAGGAAGGAGCTCGCCAACTGCTACTTGCAGTATTTCTGTACCTTTGCTGAACACAATATTAAGTTTAAACTAAATAACAAAGAACAACTAACAAAATAGAAGGGGGGCACAGAAACAAAAAGTAAAGCTGTGTACAGTATGGCATAGGTAAAGGAAAAGCTGTAGACAGGCAAATGCTTGTGATATTTGCTCTCTTGAGAATTTTATCAACTGTGGTACTTCAAAAGTAAACATACATCTCTCCAGCAACGGGAAATGCAACCACTAAATTTCTTGGATTACATGTTAAAAACAGAACAAAGGCCCTGTCCAACAAAAAACAAAAACCAACAGAGTTCAATGGAAACGCTTGTGCATTTAAGCACTTGCAGAATCAGGCTGGAGTTTTACTACTTGTAGATAAGATGAGGTTTCAGCTAACGAAAGCTGAGAACAACCGGTTTCTGCACAAGTTTCATTTCAGAGTAAAAACAAAATCTAAAGTTTGTGGACCTGGATGCATGATCACACAGAGTAGAGAAAAAAGCATTTCATTGTGGGTTTTTTTTAAAAGCTGTCAGCACAAAATCACAGAAAATACACCCGCCATTCAGAGATAGTACCACGTCCCTGCAGTAATTTCTCCTATATAGCACAGCACTTTTCCCTTCCAGATGGGATTAATTTTATTTCTATAGGAGACCTGAAACTGAATTCACTGCCTAAAGATAAAAATCTCCCTTGGTAGGAATATGCAATTCCCTTCTCCTCATGTTTCCCCCTCACCAAAAACTGAATACAATTTTTTCTTTCTCCAGTCTCAATCACGGATAGTTAAGAATAATGCTTTTGGCACTGCTTCAGTCATTAGCAAGTAATAAACTGTGAACTACAGAAATTCTGTGAGGCTGCAAAACATATTTTGTCTTTTTGTGAGGCTCTGAGAACATACGTGGGATTGGACAAAGATGAGTTACAGAGCTGCACAAAGGAGTTAATTTATTCCTCCAGCATTTTGTCAGTCTCCTTTGACAAGAAGTATGGGCGACCTTTGAGACAAACCAATACGTTAAATACAACAAAATTTTTTCTATACAATGAAGATCCTAGCACATTTCACATTACTTTTCAGCTTTTCCCTGCATGTTCACAACTGACAAGAGGAGAAAGGTAATTTAACATTAAAAACACCAAAGATGCAGACTAAGATATTGAAGAGAGGATGCCCAGGAATACAGCAAAGCAGAATTGCAGTGGCACTGCCACTAATTACATAAATAATTAAATGAGGTCAGAACAAGACACAAAACTGACCTTGAAGAAAGAACTGGAGTAATTCCACATCTAGCTGTTTAAACTATATAATCTACGGAAGGAGAAAGCAGAGCAATTCTCTATTCCTTATTAGCATCTGCTGTGATTCAACAATAAAGTGGCAATCGCAAAAAGAGCAAGATATTCACAGGCCTGTACAGCCCTGCCTGTGATATGAAAACAACCAAATTAAGAGTCAAGAACATGCATGTCAAAAAGACTTCTCTGTGACACCAAAAGAACGGTTTAAAAGCTTTTGGCCTAGTGTAAGTTACTATGGGAAGAAGAAAAAAAAAAAAAAACAAAAAATAATTTCTTTAATCTGGCATTAACATTAGCCATATTCCTTTAGTTTGTGCTTCTTGAAAGCAGAAGAAAGGAAAAGTGTCAAGAAAAACACAAAGACAAAAAAGGGATATACATATTACAAAACACTAACAGACTTTTTTACTTACATAAAATGTGAATATTTATTTTTAAAGCTTTTATGAAATTTAAGGGAAGCAGAAATACCAAGAACTGTGCAACACAGATTGCCATAGTATAAAAACACTCAAAGATGCTGAATCACAAAAATCAACCACAATCCAGTCAGACAATAAAAGCATAGGTGAAAAAGGGAAAGCCAGGAGTGAAATAGCAGTACTCAAACCAACGGCAACATTCAAAACCCTGTAAAAGACAGAAAATGCTGAAATAGAAAGCTAGGTGTTTATTAGATACAGTACTCAATAGGTTCAAACCTACTTCTTTCTCTGCAAACAGTTCTCTTGTGACTGCAAACCTTCAACAGCTGCTACGCATGATACAGACACATATTTGTAAGAACTCGTACAACATGTTGTTCTAACAGCTGACCCTTCAAATGTGGCAGACAAAGAGCCCTAGAAGAGCCTCTTTGCAGCAGCCTGCTGCATCTTGCTCCCAACTGTTACATTTATGAGAACTCTCCTTTAAAATCTCTGAAGGTGTGCTACGGAGATGGATATTCCCTTGCAAACAAACTACTGAAAAGGTGAATGGCATAGTGACGCTGAGTAGATGACAATCAGCTATGCCCCACTGAAGATACAACCCCACAGCACTCCTCTTCCCAGCCACATGCTGGTTCTGCACAGCTTCTGGCGGTAGCTTGCTTCCCTGGCAAGCTGGTTCAGCTTGTCGAGCCTTCAGAACACTAACCCAGCCAACTAACAAAAACCACTTCATGCTGGTTAGGAAGCTGAACTAAACCGAGGCTGGTGAGAAGAGACAGCCAGCACACAGGCCGTGTTGGGATTGCCCTTGTAAGCCGTGGCAGTGCTATATTTTCTCAAGTATTTCCTGAAACACCAGTCCTGGAAACGGAAAGGAAATCACAGAACCACAGAATGGCTGAGGTTGGAAGGGAGCTCCAGAGGTCATCTTCTCCAACCCCCTGGTTAAGCAGAGTCCCCTAAAACTGGTTGCCCAAGACCATGTCCAGACAGCTTCTGAACATCTCCAAGGATGGAGACTCCACAACCTCCCTGGGCAACCTGTGCCAGTACTCGGTTACTCTCACAGCGAAAAAGTGTTCCCTGATGTTCAGAGGGAACCTCCTGTGTTTCAGTTTGTGCCCATTGCCTCTGGTGCTGTCACTGGTCACCACTGAAACGAGCCTGGCTCCATCCTCTTCATGCCCTCCTTTCAGGTATTTATATGCACTAATAAGATCCTCCCTGAGCCTCCTCTTCTCTAGGCTAAACAGTCCCAGCTCTCTCAGCCTTTCCTCGTACGTAAGGTGCTCCAGTCCCTTCACCACCATTGTGGCCCTTCACAGGACTCTCTCCAGTTTGTCCACACCTCTCTTGTATCCAGAACTTGTACCCAGCACTCCAGGTGTGGCCTCACCAGTGCTGAGTAGAGCGAAAGGATCACCTCCCTTGACCTGCTGCCAATGCTACATCTCATGCATCCCAGGATACCATCAGCTACCTTTGCTGCAAGGACAACTGGGAGGAACCTCTCCACGCATGGGACAGGGAAACACACAGAAAAAGACAAGATGCGTGGTGAGAGTGCCACGCCCAAATGCTAGCTCTGTCTTACACCCATCAGTTGCTCTGACCGTGGGGATACAGCGTAAGCTCTTTAATGGTGAAATTAAATTAAACTAAATTAATAGAATAGAATAGAATAGTTCAGCTGGAAGGGACCTACAACGATCATCTAGTCCAACCGCCTGACCAATTCAGGGCTGACCGAAAGTTAAAGCATGGTATTAAGGACATTGTCCAAATGCCTCTTAAACACTGACAGGCTTGGGGCATCGACCACCTCTCTAGGAAGCCTATTCCAGTGTTTGACCACCCTCTCAGTAAAGAAATTATAGAATTACAGAATGCTTTGCTATTTTTTTATAGAATGGCAATGTTTCCTCATGTCCAGTCTGAACCTCTCTTGGCGCAGTTTTGAGCCATTCCCACGTCATAGCAGAATCATATAATGGTTTGGACTGGAAGGAACCTTTAGAGGTCATCTAGCCCAACCACCCTGCAATGAGCCGGGACGTTTTCAACTAGATCAAGTTGCTCAGAGCCCCGTCCAATCTGACCTTGAAGGTTTCCAGGGATGGGGAATCTACCACCGCTCTGCGCAACCTGTGCCAGTGTTTCACCACTCTCATCATAAAAAATTTCTTCCTTATATCCAGTCTAAATTTACCCTCTTTTAGTTTAAAACCATTACCCCTTGTCCTATCACAACAGGCCCTGCTAAAGAGCCTGCCCCCATCTTTCCTATAGGTCCTCTTCAGATACTGAAAGGCCACAGTCAGGTCTCTCTGGAGCCTTCTCAAGGCTGACCAGCTCCAACTCTCTCAACCTTTCCTCATAGCAGAGGTGTTCCAGCCCTCTGATCATTTCTGCAGCCTCCTCTGGACCCGCTCCAACAGGTCCATGTCTTACTTGTGCTGAGGGCTCCAGAGTCGGACACAGGACTCCAGTGATGATGATGATGGAGGTTTAGGATACAATAAAGAGCTGCACCAAGGTTGATCTGGCACCCACAGCATGCTGCTGTCTTAACACCGTTACAACGGGATGCACTTCCCGGAACACTACTCCTCCTATTTTGCAACGACATCTACCCAGAGCAGAGATGCCCCCTTAGTCAGCCTGGCGTATAAAGAACATGGTGATTTACTCAAGAATGCAACAGTCTCCTGTCACTGGGTACCAGGGGAGAGAGCTCAGCACCCCCCTCTCCACGTCCTCTCCTCAGGAAGCGGCGGAGAGCAGCGAGGTCACCCCTCGGCCTCCTCCTCTCCAAACTAGACCACCAACTGCACGCAATGCTCGAGTAAAGCCCGGTCTCTAAAGGGAAAGGGGAAACAGCCGTTAGGTGAGGGAAAAACGTGAGGTAATTTAAGAAAAAAAGAAAAAAAAAAGAGAGTAAAT